CGTCATCCTCAGAAAATAAGTGCATAATCGTCGCAACCGACTATCTGACTCGCTATGCAGAAACCAAAGCTGTGTCTAAGGAACTGCAGTTGAAGTCGCCAGATTCTTTGTCCACGACATTGTTTTGCATCATGGTGCACCTGCTGTTCTCATAACCGATCGCGGAGCAGCATTTACGGCAGAGTTATTGCAACAAGTCACCAAGCTGACGCACACCAACCACCGGAAAACAACAGATTATCATCCCCAAACGAACGGCTTGACGGAGAGGTTAAACAAAACATTGGTCGACATGCTATCTATGTATGTTGATGTAGAGCACGAAACGTGGGATGAAATTTTGCCGTACGTCACATTTGCTTATAACACCGCTGTGCAAGAAACCACAGACCTAACACCATTCGAGCTTGTTTATGGCCGTCGCATCACAACACCGTTAGACGCTATGCTCCCCGTAGACCAGGACAACAGCGGAAATGACAGCGTGGACGACTTCATCGAGAAAGCCGAGGGAGCCCGCCAGCTTGCACAGAACCGCATTCGCGCGCAGCAAGATATTGACGCTCGCTGTTACAACCAAGGCCGAAGGAGCGTCCACTATCAACCAGGTGACTATGTATGGGTGTGGACACCAGTTCGACATCGTGGGCTTTCGGAGAAGCTATTGCGACGCTACTTTGTCCCTTATGAAGTTGTGCGCTGCCTCAGTGACGTGAATTATGAGGTAGTTCCCCAAAGCTCCGACACCAGTTTAAACCGAAGACGTCCACGTCCAGAAGTAGTCCATGTAGTACGGATGAAACCGTATCACGCCCACGAGTTATGAACACTTCGAACTTTTTTCTTATTATCCACAACAGTGTGGGCTTTTTTTTTGTTTCGTTGACGTGATCATTTTTTTTTCTTTCATGGCCACCTCTAGCATTTCAGTCAATCGACCGGGACGGTCGCTCTTGAAAGGGGGGAATTGATGCAAGGTAGGCTGGCAACTATAGTAGCCAGCCTCTGAGGAGGACAACGAAGTAGTTCATGTGTGCGCGTGCTCTGGTGTTCGCGTTTCTGGCCCTTGGGTTACGAAAGTAAACGCCCTATTTTGTACCTGCGTACCTGTGTTTTTGTGGCAATATTACGGAAGATTATGGAGCGGTACATCAGTTCTACCCGGTCGCAGTGCATCCTGATTACGGAGGTTCAATCAGTGAAGTCCTAGACAGACCGATCTGCGAGTCAGAGATCAGGGCAGTATTACAAAAGCTTAACACCTCATTGGTGCCCGGGCCCGACGGGATTACAAACAAAACACTCAGGAATCTAGACGATAAATCGATAAAAAAACTTACGGTGTTTGTCAACGCGTGCTAGGAAAAGGGAAACATACGCCAATGGAAGACTGCTCACATTGTGCAGATAGCAAAGCCGGGTAAGCGACTGCAGCTAGAGAACCTCAGACTGACTTCGCTGACTTCATGCTTGGGAAAAGTAATGGAGCACGTGGTTCTCACCAGGCTGACCAACTACCTCGAGGATCGCGACCTGCTTCCCCACATGATGTTGGGGCTCAGGCGAAACCTCTTCACGCAGGACGTGATGCTACAGATAAAACACCAAGTAATAGATATCCCTACGAGGTTCACCAAGGCCATATTGGCCTGGACCTGAAAAAGGCCTTTGATAACGGAACTCATGCAACCGTACTGGCCAAAATGCAGGAACTAGGTCTCGGCGTATGAACGTACAACCACGTTCGAGATTTTCGCATGAATAGAAAAGCCAAGCTTACTTTCGGGCAGCTTAGTTTTTAGGAAATAGAATTGGGTAGCGCCAGTACACCGCAAGGATCGGTGATATCACCCCTGCTTTTCAACATGGCTTTCGTGGAGTTGCCAGCCAAGCTACAAGAAATAGAAGAGCTCCATCACAGCCTTTACGCCAACGGCATTACGTTGTGGGTTACGGACGGCTGTGACGGGCACATAGAACAGACGTTGCAACGTCCAATTTAGACTGTTGAGCGATACTTATAGAACGCCGGCTTGAGCGGCTCTGCGATAAAATCAGAACTTTTGGTATACAAACCCACGCGAAGGGGCCGCAAGCCGAATGGTGAGGTAAATGATGATCCCGGTAGAGACAGACGACTGACGGCATCCGATGGGCGACCTGTGCCAAGAGTACATATTATACGTGTTCTCGGCTTACACATCACAGCGAATGGCCACAATGGGGAGACCATCAGGAGACTAGAAGGCGCAGTTGCTCAGACCATCTGACTGCTAAAACACATAGCAAACCTACACAGCAGGATAAAAGAGGGCAACATGATAAGGCTAGTTGAAGCCTTCGTGATGAGCCGAATAACGTACGTAGCATCTACTTCAAGTGGCAGGTAGCGGAAAAGACAAAGATGGAAAGCTTAATCAGGAACGCGTACAAATAGGCGATAGGGCTACCTATGAACACGAGCACGAGTAAATTGCTTTATCTGGGTCTCCACAACACGCTGGAGGAATTGTTAGCGGCACAGACCATAGTACAGTACGAGCGTCTTTCCAAAAGCACTATGGGCAGTCACATACTATAGAGTTCAGAAATTAGATATCACGCTCAGCATGGTGTCAAACTCGACGTATCAAGCAACTGTAAGGGATAGACTGGTCATTCATCTTTTGCTGAAGAACATGCACCCCAAATACCACAGGGGTGGACGGGAAAAGAGAGCACAGGACATACAGAGGAAGTATGGCAAATGTAGAGAGGCAGTGTTCGCGGATGCGGCCAGGTATGCGTGCAGGCACGGCTTCGCGGCCGCTGTAATAGATCACCAGAACGTTTGCAAGACTATCGTCGAGGTACGCACTGGGCACATGGAGACAGCAGAGGAAGTGGCTATCGTGCTCGCAGTGGTCACCACCACGGCCGAAGTGGTTATCAGTGACTCTCAGACGGCAGTTCGCAACTTCGCCAATGGCCCCATCTCTCGCGAGCCGTTACGAATTTTACTTGCGGACGAAATTGAAAATAGGGATGTTCACGTATTATGGGCACCCGCCCACACTTTCTCGCTCACCGGCAACGAGGCGGCGCATGGGGTGGCTCGAGGGCTTATGGACCGAGCCGCCACTATCACCATTGCTGCCTCGGCCGCGACATCGGGTGAGGAATGGCAGTGGGAGGATCGTCTCACCAGTTTTAAAGATATTACCCTGCATTACAGGTTGGCCTGGTGCAAATTTCTGCCACCACACCAAAAACTGAACAAAAGGCAGGTGGTCACGTGGTGACAGCTGCAGACCAGGACGTTTCCAAACCCGGTTATCATGAATCTCTGTTACCCAGAGCTTTATGCGTCGTGCTGCAAGTTTTGCGAGGCCAGGGCAACTCTGGAACACATGCTATGGGAGTGTGGCAAAGGTGGGACATCAGATGAGGACGCAGCCTCGAACCGAACGTGCTGGAAACGTGCTCTGCTCTGCCATGCCCTCGAAGACCAACTGTGGGCCATCCAGCAGGCCAAGGCCGCCACCAGAGCTCAAGGGCTCGTGGCCGATACTTAGGCGGGGATATCTGCCCGATTCCCTGAATAACTCGCTGGACGCTTTAAAAAAAATAAAGTTGTGTCTCTTTCAAGAAAAATATAAAAGGAGCATGGGGGGGGGGGGGGGGGGGACAGGAAAGTTTTCAGCTACTTGTAAATGTGGAATGTCCATCTGAAATGGAGGAAGCGAACTCAAAAATTGTCAAGCAAATATTCAGACAACAGCATGAAACCAAGCCAAAGAGAAAAGGGAACCAAATGGACAGGGACATGGGGAAAATGCGGATGCTTATGATGGGGATGCATTGTGGCCATCACTGCCGACCTACTGAACTTTCTAGCAGGAAATTGTAAAAGAAAAGATCTATGATAATTATCGGAATAGTTCTCTGCTGTTTGAAACCAGGACGGCAGTATTGTGGACCAAGACATGCTGGGCCAAATACAAAAACATAGGCACATTATGCAGTGCGTGGGGAAAGGAGTGATTGATCGCTGTCCAAGAGAGGCGACCTCTCAAATGGGCAAGTATTGCCTGCACTCTTACGGACTTCCGCATATATGTTCGAAGTGACCACACTTGTTGCACATCCTTGTCCTGGCTGTACACCTTGAAGGACTTGCTATGTGCAGGCGTGTGAGTGCTGTGCCAATTGTTCCAAACAGCACCAAAAAGTGAATCTGGCGATATTTTGCCAGGAATCGCATAATCCGTGCTGAACGCACACAAAGACACCATTTTAATGCTTTCCAAAAGTAAAAAAAAAGGTGGCTGGTGCTCAAAATATATATTTAAGTTATTGTAAATTTTAGTGGTTATTGGAATAAACAGGCTGTGTACTTTGGAACTCTTATAGCTAATAATTGTATACTCATCCGAGATGATTAAATTGAGCTAATAATATAGACCATGTAACTTGCTGTTGTTGCTTAGCTCTTGTTTGAGCTTACAGTAACGTTCATGCCTAACCGTTTGTGCTACAACTGTGCCCATTGTGACTAATCTGGCAGAGCTGCAGAGACATGCATGCAGTGTATTGTTGATGGCAACTTGATAATCGAAGTGTGTGTCCTGCTGTAAACTTTTGCTTATTGCAAATACATTATGGCACATAATATGATGTCATACTTGGGAAATAAGCGCAGTAGAGAAGGTGCTGGCTTAGGTATAATATGACATGGCCTCATATGTGAACAAACAACTGTTCTTATTGGAGAAAGTCCAAAAGGGAGTGGTGAAACATTTTGCAAATCCTGCAATCAAGGCTGGATGATTATCCTGGCCTGTGGTCTTGTTGCACATTGGTGGCGAAAATTGCTTAAATGCAGGCTTGGGCAAGTTTACAGAAAGTGTGTTGCATTGTGGATGGCCAAATCGGAGCCCCTTATACGCGGGGCAGTTGCAAATAGTGGTTCATGCAAATCAGCTAGACAAAGCTTAGAGAGGTGTGACTTTGTCGTGCAGGCAGCATGTGCTTTGGCTGGAACGGGAAGCGGAAGCACAACGAGAGTTCGAGCTGCGTTGCCGCCTGGAGCAGGAGCGTGCAGCCTTGCTCGCCGAACGCAGCAATACAACTAAGGCCACTGTAAGCAGGATTGCATCAACATGCTTTGCTGCAGCTTTGTTTTCTTTGCTGTGGTTTCGATTGAGCATTACTTGGTATAAAAATGCGAGATCAGATGCACAGGATTGGTGGGAGGGGGCTACACATGTATCTCCCGTAGATGTAGCAGCATTGTTGCTTATCTAAGTTCATGAGTATGTAAAGAAGTTGCGTATATTGTGTCACGTTGGGCTTTATGATTTGTGCAAGTCAGCATGTGTGTGCTGCAGCATGCAAGCTGCTTACTTTTTCTCATTGCTGGAGAATTTAGCTTTAATAATTGAAGCCAGGTAAACAAAACATACATGAGGAACCCCTGGATGGATAATTCCATGCATAAACATGTTTCAGTTATAGGTATGTGTTATGAAAAGTATACAAGAAAGCCAGTATATAACATCTTTTGAGCATATTGGCAGGAGACATGTTCAGCATTCATTGTGCCTCCAAACATGATTTAAGCAGACTGTGTTTTAAAGAGACACTAAAGGCAACTATTGAGTTGACGTTGATGGTTAAAATAGCCATCCAGAAACCTCATAGTGTTACTTTTGTGCCAAGGAAGAGCTTATTTTGAAATAAAATCACGTTTTAGTGGCCCTCATCGGGTTAGCGCACTTCAAACTACCTGCCTCAAGAAGCAGACAGACTCGCATCACTGTTGCTGTGCACAACGTTGCCTGGCTTTACTGCGTGGTCGTCAACACCCGTAGAGAGAGCGAAAGCAGCTGGAGCCACAGCAGCAATAGCCATCGATCAATTTCCCACCATTGGCTTCGAGATGGCAGACGTGTTTGGTTCAACTGCGCTCCACTAGATGGCACGACCTGTCCAGTTTAACCATGCGAAAATTGAATTTTCGAACCACTTGTGCAAGTGCTCATAGTAACGTTTGGCGGTTCTTTTTTTCTATGAAACAAATAGAAATGAACCAGTAGCGTTTTATTGTGTCTCTTGATGCACGGAAGGTTCTTTATTTAGTGCAGCTACATCGATTACTACTGGTATTTAATTGTAGGCGATTAGTCTGATGTCATTGTTATCATTTTGAGAATGTCCTACTGTGATGCATGTATTCTTGTGCATTTACCTTTATTTCTCAGTAAATAGGGCACTGCTGTTGATAATATTGTCGTTTTAGATGTTGTCATACAATGAGCTTTCTGTCTGATGTAAATTGTTATTTGACTTCAGTGTCCCTTTAAGCAGGGCATGAGACTAAGGCTAAGGCTAAGGGTGATGCCTCAAGAGATTGACATGGGTCCGAAGATTGATATTGTAGATTTGATTGAGTATTTTATATCTTGGGCACATACCACCCAGAAAGTAAGCATCTTTTTTTATTAACTGCATAATTTAGAAGAAAAAAGTATCGCACTTGTTCAGTAAGATAGGACCAATTTTGTCCCTTGTTCTCGAAAGTCCAGGACAATATAAAAACACAACTATTAACTTTACAAAGAAATAGTTTTTTTTTCTATTAAATGTATGTATAACAATGAGTGGAGAAGCATGGTTTGAAGCCTCTGAACAGAAGAAAACTGTTTTTGCTGTATTCGGTCGGCCACTCTGGTCGTCCTGCTCAGAGTAGACAGATGCCGAGGCAGCTTGCAATCAGAGCGTGAGAGGCAGTGTAATATATTGATGCAGCCAGCCCGGAAAGCTGCTGGGTAAACATTCCTGTGCTGCATCGACAAATGGTCCCGACCAGTTCGGTGGCCATTCTTGACATGTCTGGACACAGCGACAGCCTTCTGAGCTCAGCACATAAATCTGGCAGTCATGGTCGTTCGAGCTGCTAGCTTCAGGCCATTCATCTGTGAGCTGAGCTGCTGTTACAGCAGCATTGACGTTTCCTCCACCTTCACTTGCCGTCTTTTTTTTTGACAGGGTGCATTTATGGCTTCATAGATGTCAACTCGCTTCTGATGTAATCGAAGAGCAGGGCTACAGGCGGACACCCAGGTGCCGGGGAAGGAGACAGGCTTTTTGACGATAAAAGCTCACTATTTATTTACATATTTACAAGACTGAGAAACTAGGCGAGCGGACGCGTCTTTACATGACAGCGTCTAGCGAAGGCCAGAGAGAGAGCGCTCAGTGCACACGCGACGCTCCTTTTATAACCCCGGTCCGTGCACGCGCTTCTTGTCCAACACCGACTGTGTGTCACAGCGTTTGTGTTTGTGTCCTTGAAGCACACTTGGAAGAGTTCCCACATTCTTGGGGGACACAGACAGTGTTCTCGGTGACGGGGACCGCATAAGAGAGGTCAGCTGATGGGCGTCTCTTGCTGGCCGGATCCATGCACAGCCAGTCATAACACTACACACACGCTCAACAATGCCACGAACAACTGGAGCTTTGCGCCGCCCGGCCGCGCCATCAGTGATTGCTAGTGATAATGGCGCTGTGTCGTCTTTAGTTATTTATTTTTACCCGAACGGGGAATCTGAAGCTGAACTGTGATTAGGCTTTGTTGGAACAAACTAATCTTGAACTATTTACACTGGCCCATGGGGACAAAGATGAGACATACAAAGGGGCACAACTGTTTGTGTGTCTCACCTTTGTCCCCACGTGCCTGCCCAAATACGGGATCTTGGCACAACGTACTCCACTTCACTGGGGGAGACCTATTCCCGATGTGTTCATGTAATGGGCTCTCTATTTCAGCCCCCGCTGATTGGCAAACGCTCTGCGTGCCCTCTCTTTCTGGTTCTTCCTCCTCAGCATCATTATGACGTCACAAAGTTTTCACAGCTCTCGACTCAAGTTAGAGGAAGGGAATGCGCTTGCAAAACAGAGGGCCGAAAATAGCACAGAGCACACCTATCCAACTACATAAGCCAACCACATTTGGAGCCGCTACTTCCTCGGGTTCATGTCATAATTCCCAGCATGCTCTTATGTCTTTTCTGTTTTCTCTGCAAGCTCATAGAAAAAAAGAAACTAAAATTCACGAGTGTCCACAAACCAACCTCCTCCCCCCTTGTGCTCCACATTATGGTCACTGTTCCCAGCATGCTCCTGTTTATTATATTTTTGGTTTGAGAGCTATTCTTGATGTGTTTTCTAAAGCCGCTCCATCGCGTCTACTGCCTATTTTTTAAGTAGTGCCGTCCATTGTTCTACTGCTGCCGCCTAGTTGTGGTTCCGGAGCTTCCGAGTTATTGGGCCACTTTCTTCCACTTTTTCCTTCCATCTTGTTTTTGCACATGAGAGAAAGTAAATATTTTCTTCTTCATTTCATAAGTGTTGCTTTGAGTTTCATCCTAACGCGAGGAATGCCACTTCGCTCCTGCGTGCCAGGCTGCTTGACAGGGTCGACAGCCTCACGGTATGGTACCCTACTTGTGGTGCGACAGAATGAATGAGGCGGGGTAGGCGCATCAGGTGGTGCGAGCTTTTCTTACTACACCCTAACCATGGGCTTGAACTGGAAAAGCAGCAGGACCATCATGGCGGCACCTCGACTAAAGTTTGTGCCAAAAATGCATGAAGGGGCTTTATTGTCTCCTACTGGACTGTTCATTTTGACTGCAGCTAATTGGCTGGAGTTTGGCAACCAGCGCACCCCTGTTTGCGGATCTTCCTTCGAAACGTCATTTTGATGTCACGAAGCTATCACAACCCTCGACACTAATTAGAGGGATGGAATGCGCTACAACGCAATGAAGACAACACCCAATGCCCACTTTTTGGTGTTTGTACAACGCAATGAAGACAACACCCAATGCCCACTTTTTGGTGTTTGTCTTGGAGGCCATGCATACATTTTGATCGTGTAAGCCATCGAATAAGGTTTGATGCGGCCGCCCGTTTAACGCACCTGTGAACGTCAGTACGCATTCCCTGCATTGTTCTCAATATCTGAGAGAGAGAGAGAGAGGATAAACATTAGGTTTGTTCAATTTAGCTGCACTGCCTGAACTGATTCACGTTGTGCTGCACTAGACCATTCGTTTTGGCAGTGCAAGGTGGTGCCCTCTGAACAGAGCCATTCATTTAAAACAAGTGCAGGTAACATGCACATCCACTTTACACTGTTCTCTGCACTGAGTTTGGAGCTACTGCAGCTTGAGTACAAGCAGCCACACTGCCTTAAACATGGTAGCAGAGGCATTATGTGTATCTGTAAGCGGCGTCCCCACGAGCTTGAGTCTGGTACAGTCAAAACTCGTTAGTGCGTACCCACTTTAAGCGTAGTAATGGTTAAAACGTAGTTGCTACGAATCCCCGAGCGAGTCTCATAAAGTCTTATGCATTCGCGGACTGCTTAAGCCGTAATGTTCAGCCAATGCCTACCGGTTAGTGCGTACTAACTGCGTACAGCCATAACATTTAGTGCGACAAAATTGTACTGCTTCGCTGAACTTTGCAAATGCCACAATGTACCTTGAATGTTTTTGCATCATGTTGGTAAGTGCGGAGATCAGTGGATAAGTTATTTCGACTTCCACGCAAATCCGACGATGACATTGCGAGTAACAATCGGGGAAAAAAAAAACTGAGGCGAGGTGGCGACCACCGACAAACGCGCCAGTATGACTTATCGCTGACAAAAAGCCTTATCACAGTAAACATCCCCGGTTATTTGCTAAGGCATGCGTGTGGTGTACCGTCACTTTAGGCCTGCTGCACACCTTTAGTAGGCTACTACCTGAATGCGCTGAACCGCCGATCACTGCTGCTTCGTTTTGCGGGACTGCTTTGAAGCGCGCATCGCTTTACAGAAACGTAACCAGCCCGCTGTCGCGCAGTTTAGTGTTGCGGATCGCGGGCACCAAGAAACCTTGCTGTTTTATGCCAATACACACAACCTACAGCGAGTGTAGCGCTGTTGTTGCCATGCTGCACCCTTTTATTGAGCGACAACCCAAATGCACCTCTGTCCGCTGCAAGGACTACTAGAACATTGCGGAGAGCACATTGCTTGCGAAGAGCTCTTCGTCCCTGCGTTAACCTAGCAGGCTACTCGC